AAATTAGAATTATGTCGTAAATGCAAAGAACATATGTCTTTCAGAGGATCAAGGCTAGAATGCAGATTTTCAGACTAACAAATTTCTCCCACCTATTTTGAAAGAGAATATTGGTTTATATGGCTTTCACCAACTTTGGGCTTCTTTACTTTTGATGCTTTGCAGCTGATACGGGCTAAACCAAAATAAATGCAGTTGTACAAGTATAGACTAGTTCAAAAAGGAACTAAGGACAAGTGTCGCATGAGACAGTCCTGTGACAGTTTAAATGTACTTACTGTAGCAACGGTCTTGATGAAAACATATTCTTGGAGTAGCGTTCTCTCCATTTTTTTCTTCTGTGAAAACTCAAGTTTGTGTTTCAGTATCTCAGTTTTGCTTTATCCCATCTGACAAAGATGTTCCAGAATGTGAACTTGAATCAAACTATGGGCAACCTGAGTCACTGACTTCAAAATCGACCTAATTATTTCTAGAATTCGCTTCCTGATTTTTTTTTCAAAGGAGTAATTATTTCTATTATTATTTCTAGATTCTGAGTGCAACAGGCATGAAAAAAGAAGATATTGCAATGTGGGAAATCAATGAAGCGTTCAGTGTTGTGGTATTGGCCAATATTAAAATGCTGGGTATCGATCCACAAAAGGTGAATATTAACGGAGGAGCCGTCTCTCTTGGACATCCCATAGGGTAAGGAAAATAAGCACTGAATTTTGTTCTGCACAGAGGCTTTGTTTCCTAGACATACTCTGAATATGTTTATTCTCAAATTTAATGGAAGTAGAAGGAGTAATAGAGATTTGCTACCAAGCTCCTAGTGACTTAATTCAGGTGTTAAATTTCAGGGTACCTTGAAAAGAGCACAATCCCACTTTTCAGAGTTAGTTCCCACCTGCTTTTTATAAAAAGGTTGCTTTAGCTATATGGATTTATGAAGCATGAAGACCAAATCACTCCTACTGTGGCAGAGTAAACAGTAAGAATTAATCAAGTAGTTAAGAATAAAATTAACAAGTAAATTGAGGAAAATAGCAAAGGATACGGTACAGGAACTTAATTTTCTGACACAGGCAAAGTGAAATTCCAGATCTTGTCAAAACATTTTTGGCGGCGAATCCAAAAATTCTCTGAGCACCTACTGCAGCAGAGAGGGAGAGTGTGGGGGGTGTTGATGGGTCTTTCGTTTGAAGTTCTGTCGTCTGGTTAGAGGAGTCTGATCACCTGCTATGTTCCCCACCGGCTGCCACTGACTCAGGACTTAAGTGTATCCCATTAATCCTCCCTAAGGGTGATCTTGCTGCAAGGTCCAGGTCTATGAGGAAAAAAACCCATTCCAAAACCTCTTACGTAAATACAGATGTGATGTAACCACGTTGCACATCAGGAACGCATCAGAGTCCTTTATGGTTCATAAAAACCTCTAATCAATGTGTAATCCTGCCAGACAAGCTGACATCTCCTTTACAGTAACAATTTCTTCTGATAAAATGATTGGTTTTTTGGTCTTAAAAGTTAATTTTGACAGGCTAACGACAGAATTCAAATGTCTGTCTTTGCACATTAGGCGGATCAAAGTCGCACGCTGCACTACATCAAGTTATAAGCAAATAAGAAACTGTTTGAAATTAGTCATTACTGCTGATTTGGGTTTTGCAGTAGATTTGTTAACCTTCTTGAAAGAGTTTTGCCATACATAGAAATACTTTGTAATACACAGGCTGACTTAGAGGTGATTTCCTTTTCCAGAAGAAACTTTAGATAAAGGTGGTGTTTTCTCATGGTGTATGTATAGGAGTCTTTTTGTTTGTTAAAAGTACTATAGCTAAAGAAAAAAAACTTGGGTTTGCATCTAAATGTAGGTGAAAGAGTTTGGTCTTTTTGTTGTTTTTTTTTTTCCCCTCTGGTGCATCAGTACTATATTCAGCCAACTATCACGTGTGGGTCAAATTGAGAATTCCCTTTAAGCTATATAATTTTAAAAATTTATTTATTTAGAATGTCTGGAGCAAGAATTGTTGTTCACATGGCCCATGCGTTGAAACAAGGACAATACGGCCTTGCAGGAATTTGCAACGGAGGAGGAGGCGCTTCTGCAATATTGATAGAGAAGCTGTAGGTCCAAACCGCGCTGGACACAAAGGCTCGAACACTCGCAGATCAGAATTGTCACTGGTATCTGTTACATCATATTTATCAATAAGTGGATGAATTCCTTTACCGCTATTCTAAAATTTCTTAAAATATCATTGATTATTGCTACAAATGGCTAGGCTTTTATTACTTCTGACTCAGTGCAAGTTTTTATACGGTGTGAATAGAAAATATCAAACTATGATAATGTCCTGAGACCCGACAATAAAGAATGTTTGTTAGCTGTGGCTCTTCTGTCGCTGGCGCATGGTTTATCAAATGCCACTGAAAATGTGTTCTCTTGCTAACTCCCAGAGCACTCCTGCTAGGAGCAGCTAGTGTTACGGTTTTGGTGCTTCATTTTCCTAACTAGGAGGTTTTTCTTGAAAAAAATAACTTTATTCAAAGGTTGTTTTTTCTACTGTTGTTCACTTCAAAGCCAGGTGGAACGCAGCACAAGAGCATGGCTCCAGCACGTGCTCACCCTGGCTTGGCAGGGAGTATCCAGGCAGCCTTGATGAAATGACAGGGTTGTAACTTACACATGCAAGTACTAACAGGGCCTCGAAACGCTCCTGTTTTGATCCTTTAAACCTGTGATGTACAGTTTTGTCAATACACTTTTAAGTTGAAGCAGCCTGAGCGCTGGAGGAGTGCAAGGACTAGGAGCTGCCTGATGCCAGCTGCGTGCTTCAATTCACAGCGATGGCTTAAGGAACACGGGGTTAAGCGTTCCCAGTGCAGGTGTGGAGAGACAAGAGAATTCTCTCCTGGAATAAATATTCTTCAAGACCTTGGTGAGAATGTTATGCAGTGTCTGTGGCAGGCTTTCTACCAGAGGGCAAAAACTGGCAATTTCATGGGTATAAAGTCCACTTCCACCTCACCCTTCTCACAAGGGATGAACTTCAAACACTTTTATTAGCTGGGATTTAGGACAACTGCTTTCTTAGTTTAGACCTTAATTTCAACAGGAACTCATCTCTATCCACTGGCTATCCTTATATTTTTCCTCCATAGAGTAGGGGGATGAAATACTTGGACTGGGATGTAGTGGGATCTTTTTTTTTTTTTCTGGGGAGGAACATCATTGTAGAGGTAGCAAATGACCAGTGGGGTTTAAACACTACATACTACGAAAAATTACCCTTCGTTCATGCTCTGACATCTGTTGTAAAAATTATTTGCCATATGACAGCAGCTTAGAACTGATGATTATTCTTCCTTTGAAAGCATAAGTGAATTGATAATTGACACCTTTAGTATTACCAAATCACCCAGAATGAAAAAAGAAAGACTGCAGGGGATAGTGGCTGTCCCAGGAAAGAGCTGCCTTATGTCTCAAATAAATAGTAAATCTATTTTAAAATATCATGTGTCAACTGTCAGAATTCTGTTAAGTACAAAATGCCACCATGTAGCAAAGAGAATTAGTTTTGCAACTCTGACAATTGCTGCTATTAGAACTTAGTGTTTAATATTGGACTTTTCATCAAATACTTCTTTTTTTTTTTTTAAATGATGAACACCAACTGACTTTTCTATACAGTATTCACAAAGCTGCTTAGTGGACTTAGAAAATATTAAACAAGACACACAACTTTTTAATAAATCAAAAATATTTATTCAAGCTGTAAATGCTATGCAGTATTTAGTTATTGGATGGGTTTAATATAAACATCTACTGCATAAATATTGGTTCCTTAGGAATCCTTGTATACTATCTGAAACATTGCCCTGTTGCTGTACAGATCTCTTACAAGAAAAGTTGCAGTTTGAAAGACCAACAATTTGAGAACAAAGGGGGAAATACCAGTAGAGAAAATTCCTTGGAATTGGGGCACGGCTTAGTCTGGTCATTGTCACCCATGCTAATTATTACTAAAAGGTAAGGCTGAGCTTCTCCTGCACCTGTTTCAAAGAGGGTTTGCATAACAGCTATGACAAAAAGATTTAGATGCATTTTCTTCTGGGTCTGGCTAAAAGCAGAAGTGATATTAACAAAACACTTTCTCAACAGTACAAATGCCAGTTAAAATAATTGACTCTTGCAACAGAATACGCTGAAATTCTTCTCTGGCTATTGCTAGTGAGGTGTTCATAGCTGGGTATGAATACAGGGGGTAACCCACACCCAAGTCCCCTGACTGAGAACAGCTTTTGCATTCAAAGGACACCCTGTGCAGCAAACACTGGGAACAGACGACGGCTGTCCAGATCGACGTTTTTACCGGATGTCTGACTGGGAAAAGCTTCACTAGACAATAAATACTTTTGGAGGTTTTATCGGCCTTGTGTGTAGTTACTGGTATTTTGGTTAACCCATTCAAAGCCTTACAACATGGGTTTGAGTTATGAGAGAAGAGTGTGTTAGTGCAAGCCAGTTACAGCTGAAGATTGAGTCCCTTTCAGATCCGACGAGACCACGCGAAGTGGCCAAGTTGGCTGCTGGGGCCCTGGACCCGGGAACTCCAAACATTGCCTTCACCTTCACAACCCTGTCACCAATCAGCTGAGTGGTTCAGATGGATAAGTAGAGAATGCAGCAGAACACAGACAACGTGGTGTAACAAGAAACATACAACTTTTTCGTACATTACATTTATACAAATATACATTTTTGCAAGTTGAATGGCTCCGTAATCACGCAAGTGCTTTTTCAAAAATAAACATATACCAACTCAATGATATTTACACTTAGCAACCTGCTTCAGAAACAGCACGGTTTTGCTATAAAGTGAAACTTCAGTGCACTGAAAGTGCAACTCACCCTTTAGAATTGACCTCATCCCATGCAAAACCTCAGCAGAACAACACCTAGAGCTTTAGACAGTCACAGCTCAGCCCTGGTTGATTTTTCTTTTTTTTTTCTACTCATCATAATGCAAAGACAACAAGAACTTGTCCACAAAAAAAAAGAATTTGGTAGCTTCTTTTTCTGTAGAAGAAAGAAACAGTTGTGTTAAAGCCTAAGAACCTGGGGACAGTGAAGATTCTGTAAGCATTCCTTTTGTCCTCATCCTTCCATCTACCTCGCAGACGTAACGGCACAAAACTCGCCCAGAAAGCAGACACCAAAATGTGCCTACACTGATGTGTACCCCCCGCCCCGGGGCACAAATGGCACCATTACAGGGCAGGGGTAGCTGAGCTCTCAGCTTCAGCACTGGCCCACCCAGACTTCAGCCAGGTGCAGCTCACGTCACAGATGCAGGACAAGTAACTGAGTGCTTTTCCATTAGAGCATTTCAGGAGCAGGCTATGAGTAAGTATGGTGAGTTACAGAGGTTTACTGGGTCTCCTTTTTGACCATCTAGATATATCACCTCTGCTATTTGCCATTACACCCCCAAGTCAGCTGGGGAGACCTTATCATTCTCTACAACTACCTGAAAGGAGGTTTTAGTGAGGTAGGGGTGGGTGTGTTAAACCAAGTAACAAGTGATAAGACAAAAGGAAATGGTCTCAAGTCATGCCAGGGGAGGTTTAGATTGCTTCTTAGGAAAAGTTTCTTTACTAAAAGAGTGGTGAGGCATTGGAACAGGCTGCCTAGGGAAGTGGTGGAGTCACCGTGCCTGGAGGCATTCAAAAAACATGTAGACATGGCACTTCAGGTCACGGTTTAGTGTTCACAGTAGCATTAGGCTGATGGCTGGAATTGATGACCTTGGAGGTCTTTCCCAACTCTACTGATTGTATGATTCAAAAGTACGGTCCTGTATGCTAGAGAGACTGGGAATGCACAAAAATGTGGATTCCTAGTCCTGGTGGTGAATGAGGATGCAAGGATAGCCTGAATTCTAGTAAGGCCTGGTTCGAGTTTGGCCCAATTCCTACATTTCACCTACAAACTTGTCTGAAATTAAATTCAGAAATTCATCCATGTTTTAAGATAAATTGTCTTTCTGTGTGTGCAGAGAGTCAGGAGGAGTTGCTGTCTGAAGACTACATTTATCTTAAGAAAACTGTTAGTTCAGAGTAGGCTCAAGAGGCAAAGTTAGTAAAACTGACAAATACAAACAGGATACTGGGGATTTGGACTAGCACCTCTGAACAATCCCATTATAAATACTACAGATATATATATTTAGAGTTTTAATTAAAAGGTAAGTAACTACACTTGCCTTTATTTTCTTCTTTTTTGATGGTGTTGGAGAGCTTTGAAGGTCTTTTCTGTTTGCAGAACGAGAAGTTCTCTCTCCCTCGTTCAAGTCCTCTAGTTTCCTCTTCTTCACCGTGCTCCTTAACGATCTGAACTGTTGAGTGTTGTCCTTCAGGGGGGTCGCAGCGCTAGTCCGTGCAATAGCTGCCCGTGACAGTATCATCAACGTGTGGGCGGCCATACTCACGCTATTTTCGCTGCCCGTTTCGCTCGCCGGGCTGCAGGCGGGCAAGTCTGGAGTAGCAGGGGGTACCATAATCCTTGGGGTCGTGCTGTCCTCATTGAAGCGCCGGCAGGTCGGTGTCCGCACGCTGTCTGTAGTATCGTCCGTGTGCCTGTCCCCAACTCCGGACGGGGTACGGGGTACCGGCAATTCTCCATTTTCAACTGTCTTGCTAGTTGGGCTGTGCCACTGAATGTCTTGTAACATTTCCACGCATTGTTTAGTGAATGGACTCGAGAGGCAGAGGCCTTGGTTAGAAACTTTGGCTGGTTCTCGCTTTGGCTCCTTTGAAGACAAAGAGACAGACACCGAAGATTTGCCACTCCCACTTGACAGCGCCCCTTGCTTTTTGTTCAGCTCTTGCACCGAAGGAACCGTCTTCTCGCTCCATAAGCTAACGCTCTGTTGGCCATTGCAGAGTTTGGCCGTGTCCTGGTTCTTCTGCTTTTCATCAGTATCCCTTCGTAATTCATTTTCTTTATTTGCTGTAGTCTTGTGGAAGGGATCTAACGGAAGCCCTGCAGCTGCCACCTTCCGCTCTGGCTGCGGCTCCTTTGCAGACACGCTCCTGTTGCTTCCAACTTCTGGCTTACACAGAATTCTCGGCAACGTTTTGTCTTTCTCTCTCTTGGCTGCCTGTGCCTTGGCAGAGGATGATGCGGTGTCGACAGCAAATGAAGTATTTTCGTTTCTTTCTTTTTGGGATAAACTCTTAGGAGTCTGGATCTGGGTGTTTCCTCCTGGAGTGGGTAGGATGTTATCGAAGCAAAGCACTCTCCTGTGACTTTCACCTTGCCTTGAGTTGGAGCTTGTGCTCTCTACTGGCAGAGCAGGCAAGTTCTCCTCCACTTTCCTTCCTGGTTCTGCGGTGATAAGCTTGTCCGCATTTCCAGTCCTGAAAATGAGATGCAAACATTTCAGGAGCAGACTGGTTCATACTAGGCAAGTTCCTTTCAGCTGGCTGGAAGTTGCCACCTGTCCCTCAAAACACCTTTTCAAAGATTTTTCTAAATCTAAGTATTTTATCAACACTCAAAAACCAAGACTAAGGCATCATAACCACAGAAAGCTCAGGTAAGTCCAAAAAGGATGACAAAAAATGTCTGTACAAAAGTACAAAAGAACAATTACATAGACTGGGGCTCCTCAGCCTGGAAAGAGAGATCAGTGGAGGGAAATGCAACAGAGCTCCGGGAAAAAAGCCAACAAAAAGGACGCTATTTGCTGCATCTTTCAGCAGAAGAACTAGGGCCATCAAATAAAACTAGTATCAGGTTCAAAACAAAACCAAGAGGAGGTTTGGCTTGTAATTAAGCCTGGGAACTTTTTTTACCCTGGGATATTTGCGGATGCTGGTAGTTTACTTGAGTTCAAAAAGAAATCTGAGTGCATGCATGACAGGACAGTCCATCCCAGAACACTGACTGCGGCTCTGCAAGTCCTTGGAACTGAAAGTGCTGAGAGGCTGCCAGAATATTCTGGGTGGTATCATCAAGCCTTGTGCTCTGCATCCGCTGGAGGTGATGGGACACAGAGCGAGGCAGAAAGCTGTTGCTGGGCATCTGGATGAGAATGTACAAACTCCCCAGGGCTTAGTCTCCTGACAACCAGCCACAGCAGCCTGAAAAAGTCATCACTACACCACAGCCACGTCAGAAGAAAAATATTTCAGTTTTGCCAGCTCGTACCACTGCCAGGTCTGTGCCCTCTTCCTGGCTTACACCAGAAGCTTCTGCATTTTCCTCTACGCTAGTTAAGACTCTCCCTATGCAGAGAAGCCTTTAAGAGGAGAAGCCCAGTTAACTTTGGGACAGTAAAGAAGGTGGGAGTGGCAACAGTTTGTTTTATTTCCATGAAATTTGAGATGAGACGGAGGGTTAAGAGGAGAAATGAGAAATCAGACCCCTTTACAGGGATATTTTGTTCTCTCTGCTCTGCAAAACATATGTCTGGAGATCGACTGAAATTAACAGAAAGCTGAATTATCAAAGTAATATTATCCAAAATCTTGCTTCTGTGGCTTTTTAAAAATCACTAATTTTTGCATGCGTGTATACTGTATACCTTGGAGTATGGTGTTTTGATGTTTTGTTTTTAGTAAGTTGACTCTATTGTTCCTGTGTCCTCCATTTCTCCAAACTTTTAATTGGGTTCCGAACAGGTAGATTTTTTTTTTTGAAGGATGTTTTATCTTTTACAATAAAAGAACATTTCACATCTAATATTTAAACTGAACTTCTTATCTCTTCCCACACTCTTTTCCTCATTCCAACATCCTTTTATTTCATAAAGTCCACTAATGATCAGGAGAGTGACTCCTGAAGCCTTGCTCTCTTCTCTCTCGCTTGGCCTACAGAAAACTAGTATCTATCCCAATTAGCAATTAAATGAGATTCATCAATACAAAGCTAATATGCAGCTCCCCTCACTGTCTCTCCTTTGACTTTTCACTTTATAAACAACCAGGCAGTGATCTAATCCGCACAGCTGAAAACCAGATGCAGAACCCAATCTAATGAGCTGTACTGGATCTGGGCCACAGAGTGGTAAAGGCTATGAGGCAGCACTACAAAACCACAGGTCCCACTCCTCTGAAAATTAAAAAAATAAAAAGTTTTAATCATTAAAATCTCCCAGGCAATTTCTCCTAGCCTGAACTGGCTCAAACAATTTTTATTTGACACGAGACAAGAGAGAATAAACACAAAACCATGGAAAGTTAACATAGGAACAGTAACAGCAAAATTCTAGCACTGGCTGCACCAACACTGGCACGCTGTACTAGCAGGCACGCAGGAGGAAATAAAGAGTACTACTAGTACTACTACTAAGTACTTACTTACTAGTAAGGCTTAGGCCTCTGTAAAAGAAAGCTGCTCTCCTCTCCACTAATACTGTAAAAAGAAATTCAGGACAGGAAAAAGAAAGCAAGCACTACTGACCTTTGTGCTCGAGAATTTGTAGGGTTCAAAGGCTCGGCCACACTTGGTACCAGTTTTCCTGAACAACAGATCAAGTAGTAATAAATTAAATTATTCCAAGTAAATAATCTCACGGTCAAGTACAATGACATTTCGCCTGGCAGAGAAGCAATAATGAAGAATCCAGCAACAAAACTTTAAACTTAAAAATTACCAAAAAATTGCAAAGATTAATAGATTAGTGAAGGTCTCCAGCTAAGTATAAACAAGACGGCTGCTGTCTACACTTACACAATACAAAGGCCTGGCAAGACAGAAAACCAGCTATGCTGGACTTAGAAACGCACAGCAGGCATTTCCAAGTAAAAGGAAAATAACCACAGAGAACATTCAGTTATCCATCAGCAAAACAGAAGGCAGATTGACTATATAATCCTAGCTTTTCTCTCAATTTAAAACTGTCCTTATAAGTCAATTTACTTTTAATTATTTTTCTTTACCTCCTCTCAACACTGAGAAGTTGACGTAGCACCAGTCTGGTTCCAGTTAACTATTTAAAGCAACAAGGTCTCAATGAAATGAATATACTGAAGTGTACACCTCACATGGCAAAGAGAAAACACAAATGTACAAATGTGCAACACTACTATTAAACATTTCCCTCAATAAATGTCTACAGTTGTTGACTCTTCTAGTAACTTCTTTGTTACTACATGGTTTGGTTTCAATGGCAACAGTAAACTGTGCTTAAAACCAACAAGATAGAAAATAATCAGAAATATAAAGAAAAATAAACTTTTAAGACTGCATTAGAGCCTCGAAACATCACATTTGGGAAGGAAGCTTGATCCCAAATTTGGAATTATTTTATATGCTGGAATTATTTTATATGCTGGGAGTTCTCTGTAAACTGAGCAGATACAGCTACTAACTGCAGGTACAGGCTTCTCTCAGACCCACTCCAGCACTTACCTGGCAGAGAAGCATCAGTATTTATAAAACTTTATTACACAGAACTGACACGTCTTTATAATTCCCATTTTTCTTATGCCCTTCTAAAGAAGATAAGGTGGGTACCTGTATTAGTCTTGTTTCTTGCTCCAGGAACCTTTTGTGATTTGGGAGGGATGGGAAGTTTTGGGACACTTCTGTTGCACACTGGATTAGCCACAGGCATATGCAGAACCTTGAAAGAATCAAAATATTCCGTTACAATTTACCAGAAGACTATTTATGACTTCAGCTTTAATTCGAAAGGCTTTACCAGTGATGCGCTACCTGGCGGGCAGGTGCTGGGAACGTATTTCCATTTTGTCCGACCACAGAGAGAGGTATCATTCCCACCATTCCTTGCAAAACAGGTTGCACTGGAGATGTAATTATAATGGCAGAACCTAAAAAATATATAAGTGAAATTGTACGGAAACTAAAACGTTTCAGGGAACAGAAGTGCGTTAAGACAGGATTTCTTAAAATGACACATGGTCAACCCTGTGGCAAGAAAAGCTCCGTCGTTTTAGAAAAAACTCTGCTGTCTCTACACTGACATCACTGCTAGAAAACAGGGTACCAGTGTTATTTTTAGTTTATATTGAATTCTTTAGTTAAAGTCTGTTGTCCCTTTTAAGAAATGGCTCAAAATTAGGTCTGAAGCATCACAAACCTACAGTAAGGCACGAACTTTGAATTAAAGTGATTTATAAAAAACAGTAAAAGTCCTATCAAGTAGCTCATTTTGGTGCTTAGTAAAAACAAACTGCTATATGCATCCTATTTTCTGCAATTAGCATGCTCAAAAGCCATTAGGAGAATTATTTTTTTTTTAATTCCAGTGCACTCATAACACTTTCCCTTTAACAAGCGGACAACAAAGCTGGGAAAGGCCAACTTTGTCTGTATGGTGATATCTAATGTGTGTTCCTGGCTGGTAAGAGGTGTTGTAACGTAGCACAGAAAAATTCTAGTTAATTAATGGGTTTGAGCAGGTAAAAAAACCCAGAAAATTAAGCACAGTAAGACTAATTTGCAATTTTTAAGCTAAAGTTTCCTATTTAATTACTTAAATCACTGGTAAAACAGTTGCTTTCAAACAGTTATTCTAAAAGGTTGTAAGAATGCTGGGCAGCTAGGCATAAGGGAATTATAAAACAGGGCAACTATTGCAGCACATTAATTGAAAAAGTGGAAGAAAAATTTCAGAAAGGAAAGGAAAAAAAAAACCAAACAAATCTATTCCACAGTTCTTCAGTTATGTGAGCATTACCAGGAAAAATATCAAATGAAGAAAAGTGGGCAGACTTCTACTTCTCTATGAAAATTAAAAAATGAATCTAACAGTTGTATAAAGAAACCTAATGACAGAAAAGGCCGGAACTCTTGAGATCCTGCACGTACCATTGCACTGGCCTCTGACCACAACAGAATGACCACACACAGGAATTCAAGGATAACTCGCAACAAGCAGTTAGTGTCAGAAAGAAATCTAAATGTGTTTATGGCTCGTTTATAGTTAACATTTAAAAAAGCACTTCTATTGTTTATTATTGTAGTGATAAAAATACCTGTACCGGAAGAGATTTTCTATTGTAGAAGAAAATAATGTTACGCTTTCATATTTGTCTTAATGTAGAACAGGCTTTAAGAAAACGAAGCATAAAAAAACAAGGAAGTAATTTGGGAAGGACTATCTACACGTAGGCAGTTAGCTAAACTAAACATGGCTACCTATAACACAGAGCATTCTATTTCTTAACAGGAATCTTATTAAAACAAAATTTAAAAAAAATGCTTTATTTAGCCAAAGCAATGGAATCTTTCCTAGTGTAAGCCAAAATATGCTTCCTAAATTTATCACTGCTAAAATTATATAATTTAAGCTTCTGAAATATAAGGCTTTTTTTTTTATTTTCCCAGACCAGCCCAGTCAATGACTCTTCATAGCTTTTATTCATTTTTAATACCAACTCCTACACTCAAAACCAGGCTAGTTTTCAAGGGGCGGATAGAGCAGCACTTAAAAATTGTTTACTTTGAATGAACTTACAAGAATAAAAATATTTTCAACCACTTTCTAATAATATTACCTTGTGAGAAGTTTGGGGAGATGGTCTGGTTGGCTGCAAATGTATTGCTGGATCTTGGGGGAGTCCGTAACTGTTGCATGGCTGGAGCTTGGGCAGCGAGCGGCACAGAGCTGCCGGGGAGCACAACTACGTTGGACGGTGTCACAGCTGTACCCAGGGCAGCTGGATCAGTCACACAGGTGGCTATGTAAAGGTTGTTTGAATTCCCAAAAGCTGTGCTCGTTGCTGGCATCAACTGTATAAACCCCCCTTCCTTGGAAAGATTAGATGTACCTGCAACCGAAAGAACAGCGCAGTCTTCGTTCGGAGTGTTAACCGAGCTGACCACAGGATCCTTGGGTCTAAGCACAAGGAGATTCTGTTCTGTCAGTGCCGAATCCACACTTTTTTCCGTGTCTTCTGAAGCCAGACATTTGGTCAGGCCTGTAGTTTTGGTTGGAGACTTGGCTGGAGAAGACAATATTATAGTCGGTAAATTTTCTCCTGTGATGCTGGAAACAGCACTGTTTAACTCCGCATCTGACGAAATAAAGGGATCATCGCTGATGATGATCTTGAGGGACATTATGTTAGAAGGATCAACATCCATTGGTTGACTACTAGAAGATACACCACCTATACTTCTGCCCTCAGCACCTGACTCATCTGTTGAGGGTGCAGTTTCTGGGAGAGGAGAGTGGTGTATTTCAGATGTGGCAAGATTATTCTCAGTGGATACTACAGAAATTTCTGTACATGCATCATCACCAGAAGAGAAATACGTATTATTGGCATCTACTTTTGTAGAAGGTGAAAGTTCTTGTGTTTCCCCTTGTGTTCCCTCTGAGTTGGACAGGCCCAAAGGAAGGTTAAAATCTTTCTTAGGTGGCTTATCACATGTATGTTGATCACTGGAAGTATCAACGTCAAGCTGCAACTCTGTTTGGCCGAGATCCGAAATCTTCACCACAGGTCCTGCAGCACATTCTGACTGCGTGTTCTGTTCCTGATGGGTAAAGTGGTGGCTGGGGTTCTCCTGTAAAATACCAGGTAAGGCATCCGTATCATTTGTTACAGCCTGCTCTTTTCCCGCATCTGCTGATGGGCTAGAAATGGATGAATTGGTTTTTCTCAGCAGTACAGCGTGGCCAGGGCTCCCATCAGAAGGGTTCTCAGTAAGTGTATTTTCAGAGAGTGAAGTAACTGGTGATAAGTGATGTTTACTTCCAGAAAGTGTTTTGTTTTCACTTGCTCTAGTATCCTCTGCCAATGAAATCAAACAAATCTGTGAACTACCAGAACGAACATATTCTAAATGAGGACTACTTTGAGCGCTATGACTTAGCAGGCCTTTTTCAATTTCCATAGTTCCTGCACTTTCAGATACCAACACAGACGACTCTTTTTTATCGTAAGAATCTCCAGAGTGTTCGTTACATTTGCTATCAGAACTCTGTGTCTTGTTAGCTTCCGTTAAGCCAGGCACAGAGTCAAGAGCGATTTCAAGCTCTCCAATATGTTCAGGGGTGACAGTTTTAAGCCCTTCAGCCTGCTTCCTTGGCCTGCAATTTCCCTGCAACTGTTCATTGGCTGTATTCTTCTTAGCCGTGACATCGTCATTAACGGTGGTCTTCAAGGCACATGACACTTCTTCTAACTGAAAGCCTTTGCAGGAGAGTGACTCTCTGGAATTATCGCCTGCAAAACAGAGAATAAATTAGGTCCGTAATTATTAGAACAGGTGATCCTTTTACAGTGCTTCAGAAGCAACTTATCGGTTCAATCAGAAACTGTTTCAAGTGAAAACTCTACGGGAATTCTTACTTCCAAGCTGACTGGGAAGTATATGAAATGTACAGTTAAACACATTAAGCAATCTGGCACATCAGTTTGTACATAAATAATGAGCTGTTTGCTTACTACGCATGTTAAAGTCACTACATCAGATTTCCAGAAGCACAAAAACCATCTCAGGATAAAGACCTCTTGGTTTTATTTCTCATATACTTTAACTAAGTATCTGCTACTGCTGGTAAGAGTGGGCTAAACAGACGAAAATTACCTTTTGTCCAGAGTGAGACTCTTTTTGTGTATTAATTAACCAATACATTACTAAACAGAGAGAAAACATTAATATAGTTAGATTTAAAATATTATCTTCATGTGTTCCACTACTGCAAAGTTATCTCTGTTCTGAATGAGTAAACAGATTTGCAGATATTCTGGTTTCATTGAAGAGCTTATCAAGTACAATTTTTAAGTAGACTGATGGGCTTCTGTAGACTGAAGCTTTCTAACAGATGAGGTGTATCCAAACGTTCACGCAATGGAAATGTCAGATTGGCTATTATCATGGAAAACAGAAAGGTTTTGAAATGTACAAACTGTCCCAGAGGATTTTCATAATGAAAAGTGAACAGACAGAAAGGGATCTTAAAGAAAAAAAATCTAAATAAAACAACCTACATCTACTAGTTTCTTCTGTTCCTAAAGAACTTTCAAGTGTTTCCAGGATTGCATTTTCTACTCCACTCTGACCAGAAACACCAGCAGGTAAGTTCTTGTTTACCTTGCTCTTTCCTGTTTTCAAAAATAAAGCATGAAGAAAGATTAACTATGCCATTTTACACATGCACACGATAGCACATTTTAAATTAAGCACAGAACTTTCAAAATCAAGAAATACCATCCTAAACTCCAATAACTATTTGTCTCTATTCACTAAAAATCCAGAAATAGCATAAAAACATCCTCAAATTTTATGTGAGGATATCTCTGATCAGACAAATAGAAAAATTTTGCAGCAGCACAGAAAAACAAGTATGAACGGCCATCCTTTAGACCAGAAGAGCCCGAAATAACAGCAATAAAACCATCACTGAGCTAACCCAAAACCGTAATTTCAGCCACGAGGTAACGCCGTACTTTACAGTTGTGTACAAATGTAATCCCAACTTGAGGGATGCAAATGCCATTCAGCCCGCTTCTCTTGCGAAAGAGGCCTCCTGAATTACCTCTGCTGCTTCTAGCCATACTTAGGAAAACTCATCATTCATGATGTTTTTTGGTAAAGGTACAGTTGAGCATACTATACCCTACCATAATCAAACAGGTCAAAGAGTGCCTGAAAAGCTGGGTCTGATTCTGTCTGTTCCAGAATATCTTGTATGGCCTCTTCTGACATATGAATTTCACCCTGAGAAAAGATGAGACACAGAACTGTCAGACAGTTACTTCCAAAACTTAAAAGGAAAACAGACAAGAAGTTTTTACTTTTCAGACTGTTTTTAGTTCTACTACTTCTGCTCAGCATAGAAACTTAAAGACTCATGCTGGAAACATTTTAGCCACAAATTTAACGCCTGTTATTTCTTAAACTTCAATAGCTAATATTTTTAAAGTCCCCCAAACGTCTTTGTCAGATATTACCTCCTGCATGTGCATGTTGCAGTATCTTCCACATAATGAACAGCCATGTTTAAGAGGGACTAAATCTCAGGCTACGCTGGAAGCTTTTGCCAATGGTGTGGATGTCGTGAGCCTGCACGAGCCAAGTAAGGGTAAAAACCTCACCAAATTAACCCTCATTTCTGGGGTTTGCACATTATCTAGATGACAATACCAAGCAAATGGAAGTTTTACTTCATTTACCCATTACATATTCTATAAAGTAACTTGCAACTACTTCTCCACAGAAGGCTGTCAGAAGGCACGCCTACATAGGGCACGGCTCTTAAGGTTCCCGTAACTTGTTTGGTAGCAGCCCCAATGTCTTGGTCCGAGGTAAACCAGAACCAATCCTGCTCAGTGATTTGATTTTTCAGCTTAATCTCTTGCAAGAGGCTGCACTTTGTGAAGTTAACAGCGTGTTTTTGCAGACAGTGTCTGCTGACAGAAGTGATACCGCTTGGTGTTTATAGTTACTACCAAGGACTGGTCTGCAGAAAGGCTCTTGCTTATATTTGCTCCTACAAAGGCCAAGGTCACTGCAGGAGCTTGCATAACACATTGCAGGTGTCGGTAAGTAAAAGGGTCGATTGACTCCCAGGAAGTCAGTCAGCAAGGCACTCAGTTCATACGCAAACGTGCCACTGAAAAGTTTCTCCTAATTTCCTGGACTCTATGACTTTTGATATGATGGTTGTTCAGGGCAGACAGCCCATGTGATATGTCTGGTTATTTTGTCTCAGCTGCTCTAACTAAACCAAGAAGCTGCTTTCATTTTGTTCTGCTCAGAAAAACGGAATACAGCTTTGCAGCTCCGTATTTTGACAAAAAAATGGCCTAAAAATTACCAAGTGACAGAAGAATAGCTTTTAAGGAACAAAGACATCTTTACTTCATACACAGGCACCTGCCTCTGCTTGGAGGCAACCTCACATACAGAATCATAGAATCGTTTCTGTTGGAAAAGACCTTTAAGACCATCAATTCCAACCGTTATCAGATAGTAGCCAAGAGGTTCCACATAATTTCCGTAACAGATCACTCTCATGTGCCTGGCCTTCAAAAACGTAAACAGGACAATCCACGCCTACCTGAAGTCCAAGGATTTCATCAATGGAAGTCTCCTGCTCTGTAGGACCACTGTCTGTCTGTTTAGGGGCCTGAACGACATTGCCGTCACTGGAACACATTAGTTGTTAGCTCAGAACTCAAAAAATAAATCACGTAACAACACACATGAAGTTTAGAGGTTCCTTTTATTACCTGCCCAGGATTTTGTTAATGTTCTCAGCAAGCTTCTCCTGAAGAGATTTGTCGCTCAAAATTTTTTCTCTGGCATTTTCAATTACTAGTTGCTGGAAAACAAAATTTTAAAGAGGTCAGGTTTCTATTTTTATCATCACTAGTACAAAAGCTTGAATTTCCAACTTACTGGTAAAAAAAATAAATCCAAAACCGAATCACAATCATTTCAACACCGCGAATGCTCTTTATAACAGAGAGAAAGCCAATCTGTGATTGCATGACATTGCTACGAAAATCATCTCAAAACACTCTTGCATTTCTACTCTCCTCATTCTGCTTTGTTTTCCATTCTCAAAAACTTACTATATTTTGACAGCTTACAGGTGTCTTAGCAAAGCAAATAAATCAAGGAAAAAGCCACCTCTACACAGCTACACCATTCTCACTCGTTTAGTACACAGAAGAGCTAGTTCACATACAAAAAAAAAAATATATCTTCTAAAGTTAATTTCTGTAAAACCCCCAAACCCAACATGTAACAGACTAGTTCTCCTTAGTCTGAATTTGTTTCTTAAATGTAAGTATCTTCCATTAGTATATACTCACTGGGAAGTTACCATCTATGAGTTCTTCAAGTGGCTCACTCTCTTTTTCTGTTACTGCTTCATCAGGGTCTTGAGAGTTTCTAGTTGCTGAAAGAGGTCCCAATGCCACAATGTTTTTCCTCTTCTGAGATTCACTGAAACATTCCAGGAAATTTATGATATAGTTTGTGAGAAGGTAGGAAACAACTGACTTAACAGTCAGTAAATCAAGTGTTTCTCTTCCTCCTTAGAAAACCAAAGATTTTAATCAACAGAAAACGAACTACACACTGGAAATATAATAAAAGCTGATACCCATTTCATTACGTGACACGCAAGTATTGTGTCTGACTGCTTGGAATTTACAAATAAATATACAGACAAGGGCAAACTGAATTCCACGCCCACTACACAGAATTTTTCCCCCTCCAATACAGGTGACTCTAACTGGTTCTAATTGTCACTGAAGAAAAAGATTTAAGCAGCATCACTTAAGATCTCTCAAGGAGAAGCTGTTGTCAAAGAATCAAACAAATGTTAGGTTGCATAAGGATTCTGACGATGAACAGAGAATGTATACTTTTCTATGAAATCATGGCACAAGCTCTTCTGAAACCATCAATCAGCTTATACGCAAAAAAGGTATAAATTAGTAAGGATCTGGAAAATTAAGCAAAATCATCCACTGGGATTTAGCCAGGGATAAAGATGACAAATGGAACACAAAGAGACCACTCAAATAAAAAGAATAAGAAATACAAACGAGCCTAAGAATAGTTCTTCACATCACTTTTAGTGAGAATATGAAATTTTGTTGTTGACAAAATTTACTGAAGCCAATAGTTTTTCTAAGTTAAGACAAAAGACACATTTGCATCAATGCTGAGAATGTTCATAACTGATTGGGAAGAAATAGTAAATCTCAGGGTCCATTTTTTGGCTTATGTCCAACACTGGGATAACGAAGACTATGTGCAATTAAGAAGCACAAGTAGCCTCCTATGGGTCTCATGTTAAGTTCCTTGATTTTCCTTTGTGACACATCACACACTGGCCACTCCTAGAAACATTCCACAGTTTAAGAAAATGTACACTGAAGGTTAGAACGATGCATAATCTCTAAATGATCTTAAGAACAAAAAAAATCCCAACTCCCCTGCCCCCATGTGTACCTTTTTCGTCTTCCTGGAGAAAGCAAGTTTGAATGAAGCTTTCGTTCTTGTGATGCTGGAACTTGAATGTGTATAAAATCTCCGGCTTTTTAAAGGGGAGGGGGGAAAAAAAAAAAAAAAAGAGATCATGATGCCAGAACCTTTCCATGTGACAGTGCTGAAGCATTATAGAAATCTACACTTTATTTAGTATGATACGATCAGTTCCTGGGAATTCACACACAAAAAATGTGGTATTATGATGAAAAAGAAAACTATCCCTTTTAAACATACCCTGAGAAAATCATCCATTTGATGAGGATCAGTCCTATCTGCTAAAACAGGTGCTTTGGGTAAGGGTGAGAAAACAGGATGGAATAATGACAAATTAATGCACTACTGATCTCTGACCTCACATTAGCAAGCAAGTACGCAAGAGCCATTTCTGTTTTGGGCACTCCTTTAATTTTAATCACCTGAACCAGTTTGGAGAGCTAGGGGAACAAAGCATGAATTTTCTGGCACTTTTTGATGGAAAATTATTAGCCCTTGTTTTAGAAAACTTCCACCTATACCCATAGATTTTTCGCAGAAAAAAAGAGGTTTTTTTTAAAGAAAAAAAAAGTGCACAACTTACTGGTCATCTTGTTTTCTTGAGTTTGCGACTGGTGCACAAACAACGTATTCAGTCTTGTCTGTGACACGCTTTGATTTATTGCCGGCCTGTGAATAACTTGCGGAGACACAACAGAGGAGGAATTCTGTGGCCCTGACTGATGGGCTACTGACAACAATCCTGAGTTTGCAGGATCTGATTGCTGAAGCATTCTCTGTCTTTTCATTTCCACAATTCCACTTCTTGTACGTACTGGAGGTAATAAAGACAAGATGAAAACACATTATAAAGGAATTTTAAAAGGTTGCTGAGATCTAATTAAGGCTACTCCAATGAAACATTTTCGTGCTTCAGCAAGTAATTCCTGAAACTCACGAAGTAAGCAATACCCATCTTTGCCTTCCGTGTTACAGGTCTAAGCCGAAATTACTGAAGAAATACAGCCAACCTACACAGACATTGTAACCACACTTGTATCATTGCTTAAATATTTGCAGGAGTAAATCATACCAAAACAATAGTTAACTGCATCACATACCACTCGTATGATTGTCCTTAAGTGAAATAGCCAAAGTGACATAAGTCTGTGTTTATTTATAAGACTACATCCAACAAATTTAAACAACAGAACACCATGTGATCCAGTGAATTTCTGATCACCCAAGAACAATCACCACCTATATTTCACATTCTCTTTTCTCACACAGGTTACTCAGTAGACGTACTAGAGAGAGAGAAGAATATTTTAAAGTAAAATAACTTTTCTTTTTCAAGAGTTCATTTGCTAGTTTTTGTAATGAAAGAAACAATTCTAGATAGAACAAGGAACTCTTCATATTTTGCTCAGATACATAATTGTATGCATAAAAGAATCTGTATTCATCAAAATTAATTGTTTCAAGATTGTAATACATCTTTATATTCCTCTTCCCCAAAAATGAAACCGCATCATAATTAGTCTGGTTATGTTTTCAGTTCCTCTGTGAACCACAAATTAAGTGAACTGCTTCTGGACTGAGGCAGCAGTCTTTAAACCTTTTACCCATGCAAACTTCTAAAAAGTTTTCAGCAGAGAAGAAAATGCTATATGGATAATTTAAGCCCCTTGCAAAAAGCTTAGCTTTTCTTATTTATTTCTTGATATTTACAGTAATCCACAGACTGCACTGAACAACCCACATGCTGAAAAAAAAACACTGCAGAAGACATTTGACAACATTTTAAGAGTAAGGATGCAGTACTGACTGCTGCAGCACTTCCCCGGTTTTGCCCAAACAGATACTTTGAACATAAAGCTTACTGATCCCAAGGAATTGGTTCAGTTACTTACTCCTTTGATTAGCAGAAAAGCCTGTGGAACTCTGCATGCTCCTGAAAAATAAAGCAGGTGACGTTAATAAAAAGAACACAATGAAAACAGGCGGCTACACGATGGTACCTATCATATGGCTAATGTCAGCCTGGTCCCAACTTCCCATTACTTCAGAAAGCTTCGATCTACTGCTGGGGGCTTTTTTATCCTTTCAAACAATGGTCACAGATCCCTCAAATGAAGCTTACTATTCTTGATCAAGTAACCACAGCAGTATCAGATAGTATATTGTTTTACCACAGGAAGGCCACATACTCACACTAATGCCCTCCTTAGCTGCTAGTCCTGCCTTAAAGTCTTGAAGCGTCCACTCACCTACCAGCTCTCACACACAACTTTTTCATGATCTCTGAGCAGAAATACAGAGCAAAACCATTCTCATACAACGATAAGGGGAGCTGATCGACATAGGGAGTCACTCTAAAGAGCAAAATTTTACCTTCTTGATTTCAAAACTGTATTACCTGATCTGAGAAAGTGTATAGTCTAATTTTTTCCACAGAGATGACATCATCGCTGGAACTTCATTTGTTGTTTCTAAAATAAACCATAAAACACCCCCACATTTTAGGCACCTAAAACACATACATGTTGAGAAAAAGCAAAATGACAAGCAAAATAAATTGTTATGGGGTGTTTCAGACACAATCTAACTTCAGGCTTCTAACTGCCTTCTTAACATTCTGTTAATTAGAGAGCCCTAACTCAAATTATTTTAAGAACTCTGACTGATATGAATATACGCTCGCCATGGATACAGGTTGCAGTTTTAGAAGCCTAAATGAAACTGAGATAAAGACAATTTTCAATGGAATCTGCGCGTGGTGTTGGCTCCTGGGCAAAAAATGCTAACCTAACCTAATTCACTTCATATAGCATATTTATATTACCAAATTACTTGTGTGCTTTTAAAAACTATAATCTGGCAGACAGCCTTTTAAAAGTAATAGTTTATTCTAAGATGTCACCCAAACAGGTCAAAACATTTGGTATTTCTGAAGCATAGAACACTGAAGTACAAATGGAAGGATGTAAGCAGATAATTTATAAAGCTTTTCAAGGTGCCACGTAAAAACTCTTTTGAAGAGAGTATGTTTATGTCTTAGTTACCATTCCTATTAAAGCCAGTGTGAAGGGAAAAAAATAAATAAATTTGAAACGTTCCAAAAATGACATGTCTTAAATTACAAGTCTTAGAACAAGCACAACTAAAATATGATCGTACAACATGTATCAAACAATTGCAGGACTTGGAAATGTTGAGAAGCTCAATAACTGCTTTTAAAACCAGGTGATGCTCTAGTTCTTTTATATTCACACAAAATATTATGAAATTATTTGAATTAGTTTTAAAAACAAGAGAAGAAATGTTTCCCACCATAGGACTTTTCCTGGTTATTTCATCGACTCATAGAATATCTCAAGTTGGAAGGGATCCATATAGATAACCAAGACCAACTCCCTGCTCCTCGCAGGACTACCTCAAACCAACTGGCATCACTAAAAGCATCGTCCAGACACTCCCTGGGCTGTGACACATTGGTGCCGTGATCACTTCTCTGGGGAGCCTGTTCCAGCAACTGATCACCCCTCCTCTGAAGAACCTTTTCCGAATGTCCTATCTCAACTTCCCCTGATGCAGCTTCGCTCCATTTCCTCGTGTCCCATCACTGGTCACCAGAGAGAGGAGATCAGCACCTCCCCTATTTACAGTATAAACACTATAATCTTACAAGCATAAACTCATGCATTTTGCACAGTTTATTATATCTTTGTGCTTGATTACATTACAAGTTCTGCTCAAATTTGAAGCGAAAATATATGCTGGCAAATCCAAGCTAAGATAATCAATTAACTGTGCTCACAAGATGCTGATCTAATTGGCTGCTGTCTGCATAATATGGAAACATTCAACTTCTACCATAGGTAGGCAATCCCTGTAACTCCATACGTATGTGGAGATTTTACCTCTTCCTCAAGTTCACAACAAATGAGTAGGAAAAATAAAATTAAATCTCATTCTGAAGGCTTACCTTTTGTTTTCATGGCTACATATTCATTAAGAATAGTCGTCAAGTTTTTTCCACACAGGGACTGAAAAAAAATATAAATACTGATCTTAGAATCTTCACTAATCACTTAAACTTCATCTGCTGTATCACATTATATTTAAGCAGAGCTTTAGAAGACTACACCATACTGACACTCAACACAAGTAACTGTACATTAAGATGCTGGTCCTGAGTTGTCTCAAACTAGGTAGAGAGCAACCTGCAGAACAAAATGCCATTGGGAACACAAAATCTAAAGTGCTTGATCCCAGTAACACCAGTAACAGCAGTTAGAGCTTCATGACTTCCACTCATGTCTGTTGTTACAGAATACAGACACAAGAGTAAGACGAAGAACAGCTGTAACAGCACGAGTTCTCATCTTGGAACACAACACGTGTTCAGATGCAAACGCAAAGAGAACTTCTGTCTAAAATAAAATTATTAAGTCGCTCAGAATTAACTTTCTTACCATATTTACCTCCTCTGTTATTTTAGGTGAAACAGAGAATGAAGATTTTAGTTACCCCTATTAATTTCTTGTAGCTTCTAGTCTTCTTTGCTAGTGGGAACTCTACAGGGTATGACAAATACAGCCCTTTATTGCAACTATTTTGAGCTGCAGTGAGAATTTTTTTTTCGTAGACACAACCATATCATCACTTTCCTAGAAAAACAGGAAAAGCTTTAAGAATCTGGAAAACCTACTTACATTTGGTTTTTTCTAATTTTTTTGCTGGCCACACCTTAGTTCTCAGTTCCTTATCCCACATGACTAACGCTTTCAAATTAAAAAAGTTTAATGGTCTGTTTTGAATAGGTGCATCAAAACCCTGGATCTCAGAAAAGATGTACACAAAATCCCAATCACATAATTAGCTAATATATTAGAAAAATTAAACAGAAAACAGGACAAAGATGCACATATAAACATTAAAAGGTTGATACATAGCAGTATCTAAAAATCCCATTTAGTATATATTAAAAATGCAAAGTATCCAATTACTCTGTAGCTATATATAGCTACACACTGTATTTATATACACCCACAGCTCCAGGTTTTACCTGGGACACAGCAGATGATACTGATCAAAGAGGAAGCTGAACTGAAAGACGGGTTTTGTCAACAAAATTTGGTAGACTTAGATGAAGCTGAAGTACTTTACCTAAATATTTAATATGTACTTGAAATGGAGCATTATCAGCTGCCATGTCTAGGATAGGAAAGTCATCTCCAATAAATTACAGGAGTAGCCCTGAGATGAACAAAACCCTTGTGACACCCTTCTGTAAATCAACCTCAAAGCTATAAAGCAGACTAAATATACAATGCTGAAAACAATTTGCATAATTTACACTTAAATGTCTTTTAGTAAGATTAAATACTAGGCACCAAATGACTGCTTATATCAAGAGATGAAAACAAAACAACAAAAAAAACCAAAATAAACCCAGGGGAACAACCTAATTAACATTCTAAGCGCATTTCAGAAGTAATCATTACACTGAGAAATCTCAGTTTTCTTTTCCATGGATGCAAGGCAGTTTAACTCTGCTTTGCAAATACAAACTCACCAGCAAGCAGGCTGGAATAAAACCATCCTCTGTGCAGTGCTCTGCATATTCTTTCAGATCTGAGCTTTCCAAAATAAATTCACGGCAGGTAGCTAGAAGCTTTTCCTGTTGTAAATATCCTGCAACAAACAAGATGGAAAATCCTGCTATTTCATTCATTACTGCTGCTCAATGGCTATTGAAGCACTAACGTAACCAGCTACATACACTGTTGAAATAATCAAGAACTGTAGATTAGACAAGGGAAGTGACATTGTTTTGAAAGAACATGTATCTTGCAAAATATTTAATAGTCAAAACCAGCAAGAGTACAACAAATACTATTGATATTACACTGTATTTACAAACTATTCAAGACTAGAAGTGAGGTAATATGAAAAATTTCCAAATTACCTTTACTGCACTCACAGTACTGCATAGACAAGAAAAATTTTGGCTGACAAACTAACTCTCATACGGGCCAAACAATCCAGTTTGATAGTTAAATGGAATTCTACAATACTTTGTTAAGAAAATGCATTGCTACATAAGAATAACTCCATGTATCCTCCCGTTTCAAAATGAGCGAAACCTGTGCAGCTGTTAGAATACTGTTTAACATTTATTTTTAAAATGACACAGTACAAAAATTAATAACAGAAAAAGGTTTCCCCCCCACTTGCAGTAATTTTTATTTCAAATGGATGTATTAGCCGCAACTTCTCCCCTGTACGCACCCCAAGACCCAGTAGTTACTTTAATGGGAAATACACTGAAAAAGTTTACTTTTTCAAAATTCCATTCCTCAGTAAATATGTTCCACTTTAATCACACTTTTTAAGTTCTGCTTTAATCTTCAGTAGTCTAAACATTAAAAGGTAGGCACAGACCAATCTGAACGAAGGATTCTACAATAAAGAACCACAGAAGAAAACCCCTTGCCTTTCTTGCCTGTAGCAGAACTGAACACGTTACGTTTTAAAGAAAGGATACACGCCTAATTATACAATGCAGGTTACACATATATTAGTGTGTCTGTTTCAACGGAACCCCAAAACGGTCTACCTCCATTCAGCAACACCTATAGAAAAATACAGCCTTTAAGGCTGCACAAAGACAAATATCTTTGAGCAGATCTGAGCGTAGCTAGAAAAAGAGATCATTTTTTCAGACACAAAAGCCCTTGTTCAGGTCGTCAACCAATAAGAAAAATGGAAAGTTCAACACAGTTGAGCAACAACCACTGTGAATTTAATCACAGTGTGGGAGCTGGCCTATCTGACCGAAAACATGAGCGGTACCTTTGGAAAGGAAAGGGCTGTCCTATTTAATTTTTCAAATACATTTTGCTAGAAAACCCTCAGGCCACAAATTGTTGGCAGCTGAAAGTGTATTTTAGGAAATATAATTCTGTGCCACTCTTACTCCTACCCACTACACCATCCGCTGTCGGCCAGGATGGAAGGTTGGGCATTAGGCCGGGGAGAGCTTTGACCTGTGCTGTTCTTACAGTCAAACTCATCTGGACACGTATGTAAAAAGTTGCAATTTTTCTTGCTTGAACCTACTACTACAGTATTGCAAGGGATGACTGAATGCTTGCATACAGGCACATTCAGCACATACACCCATCTCCAGCAAAATAAAGCATTCCAAAGTTTAAAAATGCCTGAATTAAGACCTTCTGTGCAACTTAATTGAACTGCTTGTGCACAGACTGTATAATGATGTAACTGTACACAATCTTTAATGTCAATGAAACCAAATTAAAGGCAGAAAAGGTACAGTACCTTCTGACCTAGGAATGATTTTGTTTTATCCCAAGAAATTTAAAGACACGTCAAACTCATAGTACAGCTCACTCTTACATTAATTACCAAAAAGGTAGATTTTCTGATGTATTTTTCTAGGGGCGAGCTCATCATTTTAGTTTTGTTTCTTAGACCAGTATTCATCAACCTTCATAGCACCAAAAAAACTTTTGTAGAGGGGAAAAAAAACCCAAAAAGATTAAAACAAAAAAAGATGGAAGAGCTGCACTGGGAAGCCTGTTTATCCGACCAAATTCAGAGACGTCTCATGAAAGAGGAATGCCTACTGGAAAACAGAAATAGCTACAAGGAATATCCTGTTTGATAATCTTACGTTGCTCAGAAGTTTTCTGGGTGTGGTGCACACACTGTGCCACAGGACATGAGAAAGGATGGATTGTCCCTAGTACACATGATGCTGCCAAGACTGTACACTGTGTTTTCAAGTCTCCAGCAAGCACTTGAGATAAGCTTTCTACCAAGAAACATTTGCAACTTAACACCTTTTTTTCCAGAAAAGTACAGTGAGAGAGCTCCCTTGAACGATTTAAAATCCTCTTTTACAATGTAAAGAGCTTCTAAAAATCCCCTATTACTTCAAAATAATAAAAACACTTCATGTCTTACTAGCCTTGTTCCTCAAGACAATAGTAAGAAGCATTTCAACTAGTACTTAAACATATATTAGAAGGAACACTAAAGAAAAGATTCTGCCTTAATGCCTTTGAATTAAAAAAATAAATAAATTGTGGACAACTGAAAAGTGAATTTCAGAATTTGAGCTGCTGGGAAATCTTGGCAACCTGTACTACCAGGTGCTTACGTAGGGGACTTAAATCCGTCGGTCATATTTTTGATGTCTATCTGTTTGTTCTTACTTTTGGCAGTATCCAAATAGTCCAAAGCATAAAAGTTATTTTAAAAGAAATCACTGTGGTAAACACGCTTACCCTGCGCTTTCCAGGGACCCAACGCAAACCCCAGCTCCCGGCACGGCCTCACGGCTCACAGACACGGGGAGGGGAAGAAAAACCACCTGAACCTCAACCTACTCTTCTCTGCTGTTCTGCATCGCTCCAGTACCAGTCCTTGAACCCGACGCTTTATCAGACACCAGGCGGGCAGCAGAGACCACCACGTTCTCCTCAACTCGCCGAGAACTCGA